AGTGAGGTAGAGAAAGAAGTTCCTGCATTGCAGTGATTGCGAAGTCCTCTTTATTTCTGGACATGCGAACCACAACGTTTCTAAGAGGTCCCAATGCAGGTTGTGACGGACGAAGAGTGGCCCAAGCTTTACCCGCACGTGCCTAAAGTTACTTTCAGTGATGAAAGCAAGTTTACTAGGAGCTGCTTGATTACCTTGAAATGGTTGTAAAGTGCCCATTGTCCGTTTAGAATAGCAGCTTCCAAGGGTAAACTGACACCATCAGTAATCACTTCCTCACCCAAAGCGTAAAGACGTTGCAGGACCGCATGCTCCACACTCTCGTCAGCAATTTCACCTGTAAATTTAGCAGTGAGAGCGATAACATAAAAAAACATCAGACCTTTAAAATGCTCAGCAAAAGTTAGTAGAAGGTGATAGTCGCTCTTTGGCAATTTCTTGCCCAACATTCGTGCTTGCAAAGATTTTGTCAGCTGATTTGCCAAGTTGTACTGACGCTCTTTCAAGGAAGCGTCGATCATTTGTAGCAATGAAGTGAAGTCCTGAATATACAACTCTACAGCAGTACTCAAATTTTCTTTAGGACTCATACCGTCCCAAGAGCATCCATCAAAACGTAGACCATCGCTTCCCATCCGCCTCCCTTTGCAACAATTTGAGCTGGTATCGTTGAGATCTTTTCCTCATCCTTCTCCTTGATCGCACCCCTCCATTTCCAGAGATCTATGTGGAGCTGTGCAGGTTTTGCCGGGTACACCTGGATTATTCATTTACATGAAGTACTTGAATGGTGCTCTTTTACCTTATCCGTCACATTGCTCTCCGCTTGGATTAGGGTCAGCGCTACGGCCTGCCTTCCATGTAAAACAGCAACCGCTAGTGGTGAATTTCCATCCTAAACACGCATACAGTGCACACTATTTAGCAACCCTTTTGCAAGAATAGGAGCCAAAGACGCACATATGTTAGTGCGACTATGTTCGGAAACCTGATACTTATATATCACTCAAATCACCAAAACTATTTTCGTGATGAGTGAGGTAATTTTCTATCTTCCATATTATTGCAGATTATGTGTAATCCCTTTCAGTCTACAATCGACCTGCTTAC